ACATCAAAAGTTCGCGACGTTTTTGGATTAATTCTGCAACCACCCAGGAAGTGTAGAGCTGCATTCACTTCTCGATTTAAAAACAGTTTTGCCATTCGGCTATGAATCTTGATACGAAGCTGTGATGTAAGTGACTCGAGTAAACAACCCGGATGACTTCCTGGTTCACCTTGTGGTATTTTTACATTTTTTTTACAGAAATATTCGACCCATTGTCTAAGATAATTACCGCTGATGTCACAAAAATTTAATTTATAATCTGCGCACAAACGTATATCAGTGCACCGTTTATAAGCCTCAACAACCAGCTGAGAACAATAAAAAGCTGTTGCACCGTTTGAATCACGACATTCAGGAGAAAATATATCATTATACTTGCAGCCAACTTGGTTTATGGCCCATTTGGCAACTTTTCCTCCATCTTCATCACTTTGATTTACCGAACATACTTCCACATAGTCAGCATTTGTTTGTTTAATTGCTGTATCAATATCTTCTACAGTTACACCATTGTTTGGCGTAGCTTGAACAAGTGAAGAACCTTGACAACAAATGAGGCCAACGTGGAAGACGTCTGTATTCTTGTAAACTGACATTACGGCTTTATCGAAGCCTTCAGCATTAGTTTTGTGACGCATAAAGAAAGCTACATCGCCATCTTTTACACCAAAAACATTCACCGTCGATATCCGGTCGTATGCTGCACTGAATGCACTGTCCATTCTGAGGATAAGTGATTTGCTGCAACTTAATCGTTTTGTAATAAAATTTACGATGCAGTGATGATACAGAAAAGATTTCTTTGACAGTACAACGACTAAGGGAATTTTGATCAAATTAAGAGTTATAATGGAACGTAAAAATTAAATCAGTTGCATCTGAACTAATATTCTCTTCCTCCAAACTCGTAGCTGTACTATAACTTACATACACTAATGGCATCAACATTTACAGCGCCCTTACCTTTTCCCACTCAGTCAAAACAGTATATTTAAGACGGATGCTATACAATGACTGTATACCTAACCTAGGAATCAGCTTTCCATTTCCTTTGTCTCCTTTTATAAAGACCGTCTAGTCTCTCACAGTTATTTTACAGCCTTGAACCAGGCTCTAGGTCTTGCTGGTGTTAACAAACGAAGCCATATGTTAAGCACTTCTTGGGGTTCGGCTGGTACTAACTTGGATGATGTTTCAAAGAACAATGAAGTTGTTGTGATTAATAGAACAATTTTCAAATTGGCAACTACCTACTGTTAAGCATCCTGAACAACGCCATGAAGGAGTGCTAGCTTTTATTTTGGAATTGCATATCCGAAGTGCTACTTCGTGTGCAATAGGCAGCCTATTTCATAGGAATCAAACTATGCGATCCATGAACTCCTCGGCCGAAAATTGGTGGTAGTTTTGGCAAGCAAGTTGAAGTATTCTTTAAGATCTCCCAAAGAAATACTTCAAACCTTCCAGAGTTAGAAGCATTATATCGGAACTTTGCTGCGCAGTAGAGTTCAAAGTGAGGATCCTTGCCAGATCAATTACTAAGCTGCATTTTCTTTTTCACTAAAGCCTACAAGGTATAGATACCTGCATTGTAGGGCTCTTCTCATTCCATAAAAACAAGGTCACACTTTTACAAAATAACTGAGTCAGGAATTTATTTGAATAAAAATTTTTGTTTGCAGTATTTACAGTATCAGTGCAACTGTGCAAGAAACGTGAAAGAAATGCCCATGATGTCGAGCAGTGAAAATTGGGACTTTTAAAATGGAATGAAAAAAAAAAAA